ATCCTACATAGTGTATTTCATGGTGGAAATTGGAAGAATCAGAAAATATATGTTTGTTTAATCAAGACCATAGATGGATGGTGACGGATGTCGGAAAAATTGTACTCTGGTGACGGTGGTTGGATGGACCATAGCTAGCAGGCGACGGAGGTCGAAAAGACTGTTGTCAGGCGACGGAGGTCGGAAGGACCATAGTCGGCGGGGGCGATGACAGTTGGAAGGACCGTAGTAGGCGAGCAGGGAAGGTTGGAAAGACCATATTAAGGTGATGAAGGTCGAAAAGATCATTGTCGGGTGTAAGTCCAATAAGAATTGGAAACCGGGTGGAAGTCCAACGATAATCGGTGGTCGGGCGGAAGTCCGGCAACAGTCGGTGGTCGGAGGAAGTCCAGTGATAGTCGGTGGCCAGGCGGAACTCCAACAGTACTGGTCGAGGAGTTCGGTGGTAAAAAACTCTAGTTTCTCTTCTTCCTTAACACAAAATTTTCAGATTTACTCTTATAACACAACATTTAAACAATATAAAAAATGCCTACTTCCTCACTTTTTCTATTTTCTCCTTCACACAAGATCGGTTCATTGATACCATTTTGTAAGTGAGATCTTATTATCACTTCAAATCCCATCATGGCTTTTCCAACTCTTCTTTCACTTCATCTAGGATGACTTTTTTATGGTTTCTTAAAGCAATTATTTAGTAAAAAATTTTAATTTTGTAATAAAAACTACTTTAAGAAACAGTAAGAAAGCCGTCCCAAACATAACCTTTATCATAAAGGATCTTGTATATGCCACTAATCTCATCTATTCCTTTCCTAATTTTGAGCAAGGTGAGCAAAATGTATGAGTCTATGAGCTAGACAAGCTAATTCATTAGCGACTTTGCTCATTAATTAATGAGCAATATAATTTCCCTCATTGGGGCCCTGATGGGGTCACTCGAAAGTGACTCCAAAAATATAAATAAAATGTGTAAATTATTATGTATAATTTGGTAAGTAAAGAACTCAATAAATTCAATAAAATCAATTTAGATTCTAATTCATTAAGTAAGATCTAACTATAAAACACTTATGCATAATTAATTATAATTAAGATATTTGTAAAATTTAATTAAATATGTAAAACATGTAAAAACTGTTATTTCTTATCTGATCCAACTGACACTTGATCTTCTCCAAATGAATTGAAACGAAGACATTCAAATAAATAGTTCAAATTGCATAGAAGAACATGATATTTCAATTTTACAAATATGTCCTCACAAACCACCAAAATTAAAAGACATAGAGACAAAAGGTTTTCCAAGAAATTTTCCTCTTTCCCTTGAAGCTCGTTTGCAAATCTTACTCCCAATCTCTCTCGCTCCATATGCCCACTCTCTCACTTGCGGCCCCAACCTTTCTCACACTCAGGTTTGCACAGTTCTTGATTTGCCTCCCCGAAACTCTCCCCCTGATCTCTCGATCCCGCTGTACCTACTTAAATAAAGAAGAGAAAACAAAACAAAAGGGAACCATCAAAAGCAAAACAAGTGGCAACACAAGCAAGCAAGAAGAGGTAGCTATAAAACAAATATTTAAAAGTAGTTATTAGTGCAAATTGATTAACTTAAAACAACTAATATTTGATTCAATTTTAATTACCAAAACCAAATAAATTTGGAAATTTGAAAAATACATAAGGAATATTTATGATTTTTTTTTAAATTAGTACTTTAAATCTATAATTGAATTAATGATCCCTCAATTGGTTGGCTTATGTGCAATATTGTTCAATCACTTAATAATTAGGTTAGGTGACAATCTAGTAAGCATGTTATTAATGTGAGAGAGAAATATTTCAAAGTAATTATAGATAAAAATCATATTGCCACCATAAAAAATATAATTATAAACCCTAACTTTTCTAACTTTTTTTATATTTTGAATTCTTATAACAAAAATTTTGTCATAAACCAGCAATGACGCCTGTTGATCTATATCGTTAGATGCTCTTTGATCGGCATTGTTAAGCCTTCGATGCACTTCATTACCCGCCACTTGTACAGCAAATCAATGGATATTGTCTCTCATCAATATCATCTAACCATTGCCAATTTGGTAGGATAAAATTTTGTATGCTCTAAATGTTTGCATAGTAATGCCTCATTCTTTAGTTTTGGGATGGGTGGACTCAAGGGAGGAATCTGGAAGAGCTAAGGATGGGTAATTGTCCAGCCTGAAACTTTTCTTTCATAAAAAAATAATCATTTTAACTATTTTGTCCGCCTTCAATAAATGCAGTTGCTCAAATTCTAAGAAAAAAATTAGTTTCTATTTCATATATAAATTATAATACATTTCACAATACTATTTTGCCTACCCTCAAAAGAGAGGTCAGTTCGGCCCCAAGATAAACTAATTATAACATCAAATTCAAGCTAGTGGACTACTTTTAACTCGGCCAAGCCTTATTTGTTTTCTATATTCAAGTTCTTACATAAAACTTGTGTTATTTACATGTGATGTTATTCATCTTTATCTTTTTATGTGTGTGTGCTATTTTTGTGATAAATCTGATCTCTCGTCGTCCCAATTTTTTTAACAAATAATATATATTGTCGTAGGATGGAATATTTGCAATTTTAGAGTGAGAGAGATTAACATCTCGATTTTGTATGGTAATCCAGCACACAAAGACTACAGAATATTGTTAGATACTAAAAAAATTTTTGTGTAAAATTTAAAAAAAGGGGAAAACTATGGGGTTTAGTCTCATTGAAATAATTCTACTAGTACATGTCATATATTAAAAATGATATTGTTCTTCTTAATGGGGATAGACCATGATACAATGTAGTGGAAATAAACTATCTATGAAGGATTCTATGATAATAGCTAGAGGAGCCTTGAAATGTTAGAGTAGTTGTTTTCACGAAATCATTTTATGGTTCATTCAGTTGTTAAAAGAGACCAAATACAAAGAGTCTAATTTAAAGCTAATATTGAAATTAAGCGTTAGTGTTGGTATCGATAGCATGCAACAGCTTTACTGGTGATGGCATCCATTGAAGTTATTGGTGTCAATGGATGACATAGCAAACATTGGCATTTGTCGATGTTGCATGCTATTACTAATAGCCAGGAAAAAAAGTAGTATTTATGCTGATGGTGTGCATTAATGTTGATAATGATGGCAAGTGATAAAGTTTATAGGAATCAATATTTGTGTCAATGGCAAGTATCAACCCTTTAAGTGATAACGTGCATTAATTTTATTTGTGATGGTAGATGATGACGCAGGTAGGTGATGGAGTAGTTAGGTGATGAGGGTCTGGAAATTCTAGTTGGGTGACATTGTTCAAGAAACTATAGTTAAGTGATGATGATTAAGAGACTATAATCAAGTGAAGGAGGTCAAGAATATCACAACTAGTCGATTATGGTTGAAAGACCATAGTTGAGCAACAAGGATTAGAACATCATTGTTAGGTGATTAATCTAGTCCAAAAACTATAGTTGAGCGGTAGAGATCGGAAGATAGTAGCATGGAAATGTTGTTGGAAAATTATAGCCAGGTAACAGTGTAATCGGAGACAATGATCGGAAGATAGTAGTAAAACAATGATGGTGGGCAGTGGTGGTTGTTAATGATGATCATTGGCATCAAACATTAGGAGGGAGCTTTAGTGTTCTTGAGACCTTCAAGCTCTCTTTAATTTCAAATCAAGATTGAAACCTCCAACCCGATTTCATTTGAAGAATGTGGTAGTTTTTAGAATAAAATTTTCTTTATTATGCGAAAATATCAAAGCTTCTCTTCAGACGGATCATGGTATTCTCTCAATTCTATATCATTCATTCAGCATTTAAGCACATTAATGGCCTCAAAATTATGTGATATGAGGCTCATTGGATTCTTCTCGTCTTGAACATTGTTTTAACATAAGCCTATGATATTTTAAGGTAGATTTCTCCTTCAATTAGCGTCATAAAGTTTAGGACTTCACTAAGAATGCCTACTTCAACCTCATTTGGACTCAGATTAGATCTTTTTTAGCGTCTTTGGATCCGCCTCGTCGTAATGTTTAATTCATCTATAAATTTTCTAAAATTAGAGTTTAGATTGTTCTTAATTTGATTCCGATAACTTCCATCTTAATTAATACATTGAGATTTGTGCTTTATAGACGTTTTTTTTTTTTAATAATGAATCAAATATGCACACACAAACACACATTACTAGTCCATAGGAAAAAGAAAACAATTATATTGAAATTAACTAATGTTCATACGTTACAAAGAAAAAAAATTTCTTTTGATAAATTTTCATATCGTCGTTTAATCAATACAAGGCAAATACATCTGATTCTTACCCTAATTTATACACCATTAATTGATTTTTTGACTAATCCATATATTTAATTCGCCATTATTTAAATTTGGATTTCAAAACCCTAAATTTCAGTAATTGTCTGAAATAATTGCAAACACTAATAAATAAACGAAGCGATCCATCGATGGATATCAATCAATGCAACCAACTTTGTAACGCACACACACCATATATTTATCTAAAAATTCCTTTTTTAGCAAATAAAACTAATTATTAACCTAATTTTGATAATATTATTTCCTTTTTTTTTCCTTCATGTTTATTTATTAAAAGCATTTATATCTTTAATTTAGCCATTAATGCTATATTTTGGCTATCAGTACATCAATGAAAATAAAGAAACCATCGCTGGATAAATTTCCTCTGTTGCATGCAATGAACTACTCGATTAAAGTAGGAAAGTCTCCTATTTATAATTATAGTAATATACTTTTTAAATATTTTTCTATATATATAATTATAATTAAAAATTCCCTATAAATTCAAGCCTTTTCAACCATAACCCTAACCAGTCCTATTCATAAGAGCTCCTCCACCTGCTTCCTTCAATGATGAATCAGAACCTTTTCTTCTTCCTCCTCTTTCTTCCCTTACTCATCCAAACCAACCTTCCTCCATCAACAATGTTCGCCGCCGCCGCCGGCGATATAGTCTACGACACATGCAAGCAGGTAGCGGCGGGGGATCCTCAGCTTGATTATAGCTTCTGCGTGTATCTCTTCAACTCCTCGCCTGGGAGCCACAAAGCAGATCTGAAAGGTCTAGCAATAATATCGATTGGCTTCACCATACAGAATGCTCAACATGTTCTTGGCAATATAAACAATTTGATTAAGAGAGAGCCTGGCAACACGTACAAGAAGAAGTGTTTGAGCACTTGCAAAGAGAACTATGATGATGCAGTGAGCGAGATTAGAGATGCTGGCAAAGCTATTGAGTTGGGAAGAATTAGTGACGCTCGGACTGAACTGAGTGCGTCTTTTGACGCAGCTGACACGTGCGAGGATTGCTTCACTGATGGAAATATTCAGTCTCCGCTTACTAAGGATGATGATTATTATACCAGTGTGGCACGTGTTTCCCTTGCTGTTGCTGCTCTTCTTGACAAATGAAGTGCATGTGGTCTTTGTATGTGCGTATTAAGCATTCGATGGTTTAATAAGAAAGTGTTCAGTGCTCTGTTGTGCTCATTAATAATGCCAACAATAATGAAACTTTCATCGATTTTTTTTTTTATGATTTATTCATGGATGGAAATATCCCTTTCAAAGAGAGAAGCTTCTTTGTATAAAAATGTAAAAATAATGGGAAGTTGTTATTCTTTGTCGTAATTTATAGATAGCAAATGTTGATGCTTTAATCAATCACAACCAATGTGTTTATGGCATTGTGATCTGTTAAGTAACCAGTTATGACTCACAGGTTATTACAGCACCTGTTATGTAAAACATATTATTTCTGTAATTTCTGTTTTCACTTGTACTGGTCTCTATTTATAGGACCTAAAACTCTCAATTAATGTAAGGCTTATTTCCCATTCTTCCAACTGCATTCTCCTTCTTGTTTCAAATCTTTCATGGTATCAGAGCTGTCAAAGCTCCACAGCGTCTTCTTTCCGATGGGATCTTGATTTCTCTTTTCCCTTCGTCTTCTCTTCCTTCACTCCTGCAACAATGGCCGACGCCGACTCTGCCCTCTCTCGCTGAAGCATTTCCCAGACTACATCTACGGACAAAGAAACCTGCATTCCCACTCAACTTAAGTTCTTGATTTCCAACATCAAAAATCTGGTTCCTACTCAACTCACAACCGAAAACTATTCGATTTGGAGGCTACAACTGCTTCAACACATTTCGGCGAATGGTTACGAAGAACATCTGTTGGGCTCTGAAACCGGTCCTCAAGAAGATGACACCGCGCTGAGTACGCTCGCTGGAAGTTGATAGATAGAAATCTTGTCTCAGCGATCTTCTCCACCCTCTCCGCCTCTATTCTCCCTTATGTACTGAATCTTCAATCAGCACGAGAAGTCTAGCAAACACTTGAACGCAGACTACAACCAACAAACCACTCGAGGGTCATACAGCTGAAAAATGAGCTACACCAGATCCAATTAAAAGACCGAACAATGGCACAATATCTCGATCATGTCAAGAAGATAGTAGACAGCATTGCAGCGGCCGGTTCGACGGTGGACACGGAGGACATTGTGCTTTACATCTTAAATGGCCTACCGGCCATATACAACTCATTCAAAACTGCTATTAGAACCTCACTTCAACCGATCAGTTTAGACGATCTCTATTCCCTTCTCTGCAGCGAAGAGATCAATCTTTATCATCAGTAAAGTCAAGAACTCCAACAATCGGACACTTCAGCTCTTTTCGCTGGCAGAAACACAAACTATCGCTCCAAGAACTCCAAGAACAGAGGGAAATTTCCGTTCCCACGCCAGCAGACTCCAAGCGACAATTCGTCTGCTCCAAGAACTCCTTCCAACAGGCCAATGTGCCAAATCTGCGGTAAGCAAGGTCACTCCGCAATAAATTGTTGGCATAGGTGTAACCTCACCTATGCGCCTCCGACCAACCCAGGGCATTAACCGTTCAGCAACAACCACAACAGCCTTCTCCTACGAACGAATGGATTGTCGACTCAGGAGTTTCCACTCATCTCACATCTGATCTCACCAATCTTCACAATCCGTCGCTCTACAACGGTATGGATTCAGTGTCTGTTGCAAACGGAAGTTCGATCCCAATCCAACATTCGGGTCAAGGGATACTTCCGCTGCCAGACCCTCACCGTAAACTCCATTTACGAAAAATCTTTCATGTCCCCTCTATTTCACACAATCTCTTATCCGTTGCTAAATTAACAGAGGATAATAATGTTTCGGTTTCTTTTAATGCTAACGAATTTACTGTGAAGGATCTCCAGGACAATCGTCTTCTACTTCTGGGACACAAGAGCCATGGTCTCTACCATCTAACGGCACCTACCAGCCGTAATCACACTGCTCTCGCTTCCGGTCGTGCTCCCACCTTCTCATGGCACGCAAGAGTTGGTCACAATCTACAACAGAGTATATTTGAATTGATATAAGATAATGAAAGTAGAATTTAGAGGTGACTAATGGCAGTCATCATTGGACCATTATTATTAGTTGGCTTTGTTATTGTTAGATGCACACCATATCATTATTTTGTGATAAAAAATCAAGGTAAAGTGCCATTATAATTTTTTAATTTCTCATACGGCTCATATATGCGATAGTCGGCTTGAGCTCAAACCCTTTTTTTTTAACACAAAATTTATTCAATAAAGAAAGAGGGTTACAACAACGACAATCGATCAACAGCTCGAGGTACAAAACAGTAAGAATCATAAAATCAGAAAAAGAAGGAGAAGCGGCGAATAAGGACTCAGGAATGGATGCCCCCTACACCAACCTCGCAGCCAAACACAGACCATCCTTAGGTGTCAGTTATCGAACACAATTCAGAGTCCACCAAGCAACAAATGAGGCACCCAGGTTGCCAACCAGCCCAGCCAGCAGGGAAGCAAGGGGCCTCCTCATCATCGTCCAGCCACATTCTAAAACCACCGACGAAAAAGTAAAAACCAAATAGCACACCCTATTTCTTCTTGCCTTTGCTTTTATGTTTCTTTCCACCCAGCTTAGGAAAATCACTATCGATATAGTATTCAATTATTTCCTCCTCAAAATCTTGAAAATACTTTTCCTCCCCGCGAAAAGGAGAAGAAATGAAATCCTTCAAAATCAACCAATCAGTTTGAAGCAAAACAGAGTTTTTCCCATACTTAGTCATATGAGCTTTCATTTCAACATTAGACGTAACTGAAATAGGGATATTAACAAAATTAACATTGCCCTCAAAACCATCATTAGGAGTTAAAGCCGATTGATCATGATCCTGCATATTCGACGCTAGGTTAACAGAAGAAGAAACAACATCCGGATTCTCGATAACCAGTGAAGATGATTCCACACAATCAATCAATTTCTGACTAGGAGAAATAGGTGAACCAAAACTTAATGCTCACACAATGCACATCTTCCACAGTCAAACCGCAAGGGGCAGACACATTTTCCGCACAAGATAAAGCAGGTTTAGAATTCAAACCACAAAACACCAAGCTCTCTCAAACATAATTGCGAGACTTGGGAAACAGGAACCACCCCCTCCAAAACTACAACAGAGTCCAACTGGACTAAATTAGAATTGGAATTAACAGGATTAACCCCCTCAAAAATCACAGCATTCTCATCGCTATTCATAGTAGGGCCTAATTTAAAGGGACAATAACCACAGCATTTGCAGAATCCCCCAGTGCAGGGAACGACACAATGGGGGAAGAGGGGAGGGGGGAGGAGGAATTAAAGCAGAATTATCAGAAATCTTGTTAGGTATCCTGTCAGAATTAGGCAAATTAACCAAAGGAAGATGATAATTCCCAATCGCATGTCCAATACTTTTACAAGAAGCACCAAAAAAAGGGAAATCATACATAACCACTTGTTGGACATAACTGAACTTCTCATAGCCTAACCACACCTTATCGGCAGAAGATTTTGTGATATCCAGCTCCACTAAAACACAAGCTAAGGACGTCCTGGATCCAATAGACGTAGCAGAGTCTATTTTCAAAGGTTTGCCAAAGAGAGGGGCCAAACCGTGAATAATGTGGGGGGAAAAGAGGGGAGGGCGCAATTGCAGAAAGGATACCCAAATCGGGATAACCAGCGACTCAACACTGACATTGACAAGAGGCGATCACTTAGTAAGCTTCATATAGCAATTATAAACCAAATATGATATATGACAGAAGATCCTACAGTAATCAAGGTCATTTACCAGCTTGATAAGAATGTGCCACGAATCCAACAGGGTAAATGAAACCTCCCCATTCAGATTGAGGTTGAAAAAAAATATATTAACGGTATCAAGAGAGGGTCGTTTAGAAGGAAAAAAAATCAACTAACAATAACTGAAAAGGCACAGCTAAAGCCTCTATTTCCTGGTCCGAGATCCAAAGGGAATGCAAGCCACGAAAGGAGGATGCTCTAAGCTCAAGAGAATCAGTGATTGAAGAGGTACCCATAAGGACATCCAAAAAAAGAACGTGAAGAAGACGAACACCCTAAAAACCAGGGTCGCAAAGCTTAGGTGCCATTCCGGCACACGCCGGAAGGGAAAAAAATCAGCAAACCAAAAGCAAAATCAGAAAAGAAAGGAAATTTCCTGTAAAATGTAGTGATGACCGGCGCCACCGAGGCGAGCAGCCCAGCAACGCAGAAATGCGACGGAGGAAGCAAGGCCAAAGCCCTAGCGAAGAGTGCGAAACGACATAGCATTTTTCTGAAAAATTGGAAAATCTATCGGATTGAGCTCAAACTTGATCACTCATTAATTTAAACATTAGCTAGGTTTAGTAAGTAGGAGATTGCATGAAAAAATATATAGAAAAATAGCCACCTAAACTACAAAAGAGGGAACAACGACATAGAAAAATTCAAATTGGAAAGCTAATTAACAACCGATTCTAAAATTTGTAGGACAAGTATTACATGAATAAAAAAAAAGGTCTTGGAACATGCAAAAAAGAGAAAAAAAATGGCACAGAAAAATCCTAACTAGAAAGCTAGTAACCAATTTGTAGAAACCTGCCTCCTATGTTACAGTGTTGCCTGCTCTTGTGCCTGCTACTTGAGCTCAAACTCCTAATCGATTAAAAAATAAGCTTGAGCTTAGGCCCAAAGTCGAGGTCATTAACAAATTCAGCTCGAGCCGATTTGAGTTACAATAATAATAATAATAATAATTTGTTCATCTATTTATCTACTTTTTTTTTACATTTACAATTATATAAAAGCTGAAACAGTATGCAAGTCAATGTGGCACTCGGAATAAGGTTAAAGTTCAATATTAAAAAATAAATAAACAAAAGATTCACCACATCATGCACTAGGTATTTTTGTAAATTATAAAATTTATTTTATTTGAAACTTCTTCCTTGATTCAAAATATTCCAAAATGTATTACATTGGAAATAAAATAGTAAAATACATTTAAATTTTAAAAAGACAAATTCGCACGCTAATAGAAGAAGTCACAATTCAATAACCTCCACAAAGACCGCCGCGTCACTTGAAAAACTTCTCAGATCCCTCGTCTCTCCTCACCATATGCACTCAAGCTTAACGACAAAATATCCCTCGCCAATCTCTCGAAGTCCAACCTGGAATCCCCACCTTCCCCCACGTTCCTCCCAATCTCCACCGCCATTTCCGCCGCTGCCTGCCGGAGCTCCTCCGCCTTCTCCCCCTCCATCGCCGCCCTCACCATACTCTCCACCACATCCCTCCTACACATATCCTTCATATCTAACCCCACCTTCCAAACCTCCCCAACTAACCTACTAATAACAAACTGATCCCACAACCACGGAAAACACACCATCGGCACCCCTGCCGCCATACCCTCCACCGTCGAATTCCACCCGCAGTGCGTAATAAAACACCCCACCGCACGGTGCCTCAGGACCTCCTCCTGCGGCGCCCACTCCACAATTCTTACTCTCTCCTCCAATTCCGCCAACTTGATCGTCACCGTTGCATTGGCTACCAAGTCAGGCCTCACCACCCACAAAAAGCGGTGACCACTATTGACGAGTCCGTTCCAGATCTCCATAAACTCTTCTTCCATCATCAGGGCTATGCTGCCGAAGCTGACATAAACGACGGAGCGGTCCAGCTGGGAATCCAACCAGCTGAGTGCCGAGCGGTCCTCGGCGAAGAGATTGGCAGAGACAGAGGATGAGGTGATGGATTCGACTAGGGCGTTGATGGGGCCGATGGCGTAGGTGTTGGGGAAGAGGGAGCGGATTTTAGATAGGATGGGAGCTTCGAGAGAGTTTGACGTGTTGAGGATTAGTCCTTTCGACCGCGTAGCGCTGGCGGAATTGCTGGCCAATAACTGAAGCTTTTCGTTATCAGCTTTAGTTGCTCCTCGACACATTTTTGGTAGGTCTCGACGCCGGAGAAAGCCTTCCATGGCCGGCACGCTCTTTATGGGTACATCAAGGTCTTCATCGGCTGCAATTTTTTTCTTTTTTTTAATCGTTAGTTTATACTTTACAGCACAGGATGGTGAAGATGGATTTATGCTTCAAACAGCACCCAAAAATTGTAATTTTCTTTCTTTAATTTGAGAATCTTTAAACCTAATTAAGAAAATAGAAGAAACAATAAACTTGGAGTCTATTGATTTGCTGCTACCTGGAAAAGGGAGCTCGTCGGCCTCCATCATCTGAGGGATCTGGAGATAAACCCAAAGGGAATATGCATTAATAGTTCGGAATAAAATCGCAGGGATCCCCAGTTCCTGAGCTGCGTCCATGAAATGGGGAAGTTGTCCGTCCACGATAACGCAGGTCACAGGCGGCCAACCGTCGGTGTCTCTGTTCCCACCGGCGAGCAGCAGCGCGCGGAAAGAATCCACCGCGCGGGTTTTGAGCGATTGAAGGAGCTCAGTCAGATAGAACGTTGAGCGAGGATTGTCATCGGGTAGGCCGTCTGGTATGGAGAGGAAGCGGAAGTTCGAGAGAAGAGAGAAAGGGGAGTGTTGGGAAGGGGAGGAGAAGCTGAGAAGGCGGTGGTTGTGGTCAGTGTTGAGGAAGCTGATGCGGAGGCCGCTCTCAACGGAGAGTGCATAAGCTAAGCGTAGCATGGTGTTTATGTGGCCTTGTAGAGGGGAGGGGAAGATGAGAAGGTGAGCTTCTTGCTTCAGGTTATCTTTGGCTGACTCCATCGATTTCTTTGGGATTGGGAAAAACTTTCGATTGGTGACGACTCCCACGAATAAACCACAGTTGAAACTTTTTTTTTTTCTTCTTTTATGGGCATCTGAAGGGAGAAGACGACAAAGCTGCGCTTGGAAGATAACTTAAAATTTTGTTTAAGATAAAAGTGTACCGATTTGGGGCGGTTTAGGGGGAGTGACTGCGTCCGATCCTCCACACGCAGCTCACCTTTCCTGTGCAAGCAAAGAAGATGAACGACGTTTGATCATTGACACCTGGTATATTGGCCAATTGCCTCCCAAACATCCGCTCTTCCTATGGAGAAATTATAACGTGCAGAGATTGAATATAGAAAATAAATCGTTCGATTTTGTCAGTTGTAAAAGCGTAGTGAAAATTTAGTTGTGAACTTTATTGTTTATTGTGGGCTCCGAAAATTCGGCCCCGGCCTCCGCTCGCTTTTCTTATTCGGCGAGAGAGTAAGATTCATGGGCTTGTTTTAGGGGTCAACATTTATAAAGATAAAATCGAATAATTCTCTAGCTCTGTTCTCTGCACGTAATATTCTCTCATCTCTACGAGTAGTTACCTTATTGTTGAGTTTCACTGTTAGTCTACTCAGATATTGTTCGAGATAAATTTTTAACTGAATTTCCATATGATGTTTTACTACCAATATTTTTTTTAAAAAAAGTAAACAAATAGTTTCTAAAAAGTTGTTTAAACAAATTCTCATATTAATGGGGTGATCGGGAAGTCTTGGAACTAGCAAGCAAAAGCAAAGCAGATAGGAAGCAATAAAATAATGAATTGTATTTTTCTATGAAATTTCTCAAATATTTTCATCTTCATATATATTATATATATTCTCGATTAATTCTTACTGAAATTAACTAAATATTAAAAGCCGAAAATACCTAGAAAAACTGTAAAAGGACATAAAACTGAAAAATTAGTAGTGAAGCTAGAAATATATTGCAAAATCATCAGGTTTCTTCCATCCTAAAAAGCTCTAGCATCGCCTAAATGCTGCTAGATTCACTAGGTGGGTGATACTTGATAGGCATGAGAACAAGAACACATTTTTTTGGGCTGAGGTTAGAAGAATGTTCCAATAGGGAACCATTCTTTATAGAGGCGGACCTTGACAAGGTTGACTGGATCAAATAATTTCTTTATTCTGTAAAGATTAGCATCTTAATTATCTTTATCATTAGAATCACTGAGTTTGGATGAACTTCATCCAAAAATAGATTTATATTGTTCTGTTAGAGTGGTGAATGGTTTGCTGAGACATTTTGACAATACTGCTACATCAAATTGGTGATTTAGAACCATTGTACATACAATGATAAAAGGACTTCACTTTGTGATGGATAATAGTCGGCGAGTGAGACGGAGTCGGAAAGACCCTTCTCTGACGGCGAAGGTTGAAAGAACTATATTCAGGTCGCGACGGAGGTCAAAAGGACCAAAGTCGGCAGGCGACAGTGGTGCGAAAGACCGTAGTCCGATGGCGTAGGTCGGAAGGGCCGTAGTCGTAGGTCGGAAGGGTCATAGTTGACGGGCGCAGAAATCAGAAGACCGTTATTTGACAATGGATATCAAAAGGACCGTAATGGACAACTAGGAGGAGTCTGGCGTTAGTTGGTGCTCAGGCAAAAGTATGACGTCAGTCGGTAGCCGGGCGAAAAGTCCGATGATAGTCAGTGGTCGAGGAGGAGTCTGATGACAAGATAGCTCTAGTTTCTCTCTTTCTTCTCTTCCTTGCTTCCATCCTTCCTATTTGCTTCCCTCCTCCCTTCGATAAGGAATGAGGGATCTATTTATAATTTTTTTAGAGTGGCATAGCCCCTAAATATGAGAGAGATCAAGGGTATGCTGAGAGTGGTTTGAATGAACAATGATATTGATCCCTTTGATCATGAGTCATTTACTTGTAATTTGAACGTCTTAATGATATTAGAATTTGACGATCTTGAGCTTGTTGGATTTGTCTCGTCGAGCCGATCGATTCAAATATAAGCATGTCACCTTTGGAAATTGTTTGGTCATCCAATTTTTTGTTAAAACTTTCTAAATGTGCATTGGATCTTTGATTTGAACCCATTTCGGCTCAGATTGAGTCGAATTTGGTGTCATTGGGTTCGTATTTTCGAGATGTTCAGCTGAACTGTAAGTTTGTTGAAATCGGAGTTTAGATGATCCCAAATTTAATTTCGGAAGTTTCAAACATAATTTTGACTCGAGATTTGTGTCCAATGAGATAAAGTTTTTAATGATATATCAATAATAATAATAATAATAATTTGTTCATCTATTTATCTATTTTTTGTTACATTTACGGATTATTTGTGAGCTGAAACATTATCCAAGCCATATGGCGATATGATTAAGGTCTTGTTTCTTTTTTTTTTAATTGGTTAACCCATGCACGATCTTACACATGAATAATCAAAAAATGGTACAACCCCTATAAAGAGACCAACAGCTCCCTACTGCTCATAAGAGCTACAAAAAAAATCTTAAAAAAAAACATATGAGCCGGTGATCCCTATTAATCAAAATTACAATGAAAAAGCAGAAACATAAACTAGGGCGGCTAGAAGCCAGCACCCAAAATATAATAGGCAATAAATAAACATTTAGCTTAAAGTTTACATCTGATAGAGTAATCGGCATCCCACAAATCTATCCAGACACATATTACCTTCCCGCACGATGTTAGAAAATAAGGTCTTGCTTCCTTGTACTCAAAGTAATGGTTTAAGTTCAATATTAAAAAGTTAAAAAAAAAAAAAAAAAAAAAAAACAAAAAAAAAAAAAAAAAACTTCACCATTACCAATGAGGAGGTTTCTATGCTTGCTAGGCCTCTCGCCTTTACTTAGAGGCAAATTCTACTTGAAAGCAATTCACAAGTTCTTTTCCACTTAACAACTGAAGGGTGAATACATCATTAGGTGCCTATACACTAATCATAAGACTTTCTTTAGAAGCAAATTAAATTAGACTCTTCTGAGTGTTCTGTGTTGCTATTATATTAGTGGCCTCTCGATGTAAAATGGAGAAGGGTAGAACAGAAAGAGAATAGGTATAAAGCTCAAATATCAGTATTCAATTCTATCTCGTCTCTTCCTCCCCACTAGTACATAAGTAATACTCTAATAAAACGAAATATGAAAATAGCAATATTAAAGTTGAGTTGGCCACTACTTGGCATATGGCCGAAAAGCAATAACTAAAAGTAATAATGCTAAAAGCTGCAGAGAGGGAGTGGAGGTTGTAGGTTAAATGGAATGATGGCGTTGGGATGTGCTCCAGTACCATGATAAGCCACATCACAAATGAGCGGCAATTTTGCTGCTATTTCATCGCAGGTGAACAGAGCGTCGCACTGTTCACCAGCTAAATTTTTATGTGTCAACGGGATTTGTTCGCGAAATGGAGATATACGATTACGAGATGACGAAGCCTACGAAATGAAGTTCGATTGAAGCAGAATTACCGCATTTTGAAGTTTTGTTGTATTTTGCATTAGAAAATGAGGTTTTAGGTTGGAGATGCCCTTAATTTGAAATATTCCAAAATGTATTACATTGGAAATAAAATAGTAAAATACATTTAATTTTTAAATGCTGACAATCAAACAGCTCCAATTAGAAAATCTTTTTAAAATTATGAGTAAATTAAAAGACAAATTCGCACACTAATAGAAGAAGTCATAATTCACTAAACTCCAAAAGAATACCGCGTCACTTGGAAAACTTTTCGGATCCCTCGTCTCTACTCACCAGATGCACTCAAGCTTAACGACAAAATATCCCTCACCAATCTCTCGTAGTCCAACCTGGAATCCCCACCTTCCCCCACACTCCTCCCAATCTCCACCGCCATTTCCGCCGCTACTTGCCGGAGCTCCTCCGCCTTCTCCCCCTCCATCGCCGCCCTCACCATACTCTCCACCACATCCCTCCTACACATATCCTTCATATCTAAACCCACCTTCCACACCTCCCCAACTAACCTACTAATAACAAACTGTTCCCACAACCACGGAAAACACACCATCGGCACCCCTCTCTCCATACACTCCACCGTCGAATTCCACCCGCTGTGCGTAATGAAGCACCCCACCGCACGGTGGCGCATGACCTCCTCCTGCGGCGCCCACTCCACAATTCTCACTCTCTCCTCCAATTCCGCCAACTTCACCGTCACCGTTGCATTGGCTACCAAGTCAGGCCTCACCACCCACAAAAAAAGGTGACCACTATTGACGAGTCCGTTCCAGAATTCCATAAACTCTTCTTCCATCAACAGGGCTATGCTGCCGAAGCTGACATAAACGACGGAGCGGTCCGGCAGGGAATCCAACCAGCTGAGTGCCGAGCGGTCCTCGGCCAAGAGACTGGCAGAGACAGAGGATGAGGTGATGGATTCGACGAGGGCGTGGAGGGGGCCGATGGCGTAGGTGTTGGGGTAGAGGGAGCGGATTTTAGATAGGATGGGAGCTTCGAGAGAGTTTGACGTGTTGAGGATTAGTCCTTTCGACGGCGTAGCGCTGGCGGAATTGCAGGCCAATAACTGAAGCTTTTCGTTATCAGCTTTTGTTGCTCCTCGACACATTTTTGGTAGGTCTCGACGCCGGAGAAAGCCTTCCATGGCCGGCACGCTCTTTATGGGTACATCAAGGTCTGCATCAGCTGCAATTTTTTTCAATTGCAAAAAGCACCCAAAAATTGTAATTTTTTTTTTAATTCGAGAAGTTTTAAACTTAATTAAGAAAATTGAAGAAACAATGAACTTGGAGTCTACTAATTTGCTGTTACCTGGAAAAGGGAGCTCGTCGGCCTCCATCATCTGAGGGATCTGAAGATAAACCCAAAGGGAATATGCATTTATAGTTCGGAATAAAATCGCAGGGATCCCCAGTTCCTGAGCAGCGTCCATGAAATAGGGCATCTGTCCATCAACGATAACGCAGGTCACAGGAGGCCAACCGTCGGTGTCTCGGTTCCCACCGGCGAGCAGCAGGGCGCGGAAAGAATCTACAGAGCGGGTTTTGAGCGAATCAAAGAGCTCAGTCAGATAGAGCGTTGAGCGAGGTTTACCATCGGGTAGGCCGTCCGGTATGGAGAGAAAGCGGAAGTTGGAGCGGAGAGAGAAACGGGAGTATTGGGAAGGGGAGGAGAAGCGGAGAAGGCGGTGATTGTGGTCAGTGTTGAGGAAGCTGATGCGGAGGCCGCTGGAAAAGGATAGTGCATAGGCTAAGCGGAGCATGGTGTTTATGTGGCCTTGTACAGGGGAGGGGAAGATGAGAACGTGAGCTTCTTGCTTCAGGTTATTGTTGGCTGACTCCATCAATTTCTTTGGGATGGGGAAAAACTTTGTAACCAAGGATTGGTGACGGATGGACGAAAAAACTTCGCTTGAAACTTTTTCTTCTTCTTATAGGAATCTGAAGTGAGAAGACGACAAAGCTGCGCTTGGAAGATAACTTTGGAATTTGTTAATTCACAATCAAAGTTATCATATTGTGATAATTTCAATGAGATGAAATTGTCCCAATTTGGGGCGGTTTAGGGGGAGTGACTGCGTCCGATCCTCCACGCGCAGCTCACCTGTCCTGTGCAAGCAAAGAAGATGAATGGCGTACGTTCCATCATTGCCATCTGGTATATGCATGGGTGGCAAGCCGAACAATGCTTTGTGTCTCCTACTGAAAGATCATTATGTGCGAAATTCTGATGTAGAGCATTATTTAATTTTGTCTCTCTTAATAGTACTGTTCAAAGAGTTATTGATGCGAACTTCCACTGCTCGTCGCCGGAGAAGACAGTCTGAAGACCTGCACAAGAACAAGAGCACAAAGGCAATGGAACAGGAACTTGAATTTGTATCTATTGCTTTCTCCTTTCTTCCTTACAGGCTATAAGTATAAGCTGTAGAATAAAAAGTTGTGGAAATTGTGAAATAAAAGCTGTTAAGGCTAATAATAGTAGTAAGTAGTGGCTAGGTAATACTACTTAGCATAACTAAAAAAGGTACTAGAACGTGTAGTAAAGCTGTCCCTTGTAACGGCCTGAAGCTGCTGGATTGGCGCTCTAATATAAGCATATACTGTACCACATCAGGTACCCTCCATTGTAGAAGTTTCAGGTTCCACCTGAATGGTTTGCTCGGTGCTACCATCTGGAGGATGATACGGGAAGATGTCTTCAACATTGAAGGTCTTAGATGTCTGGAAATGATCTGGAAGATCGACGGTATAAGCGTTGTCATTTATACGCTTGAGGATAGGCACAGGACCAAATTTGCGAGGACTTAGTTTGGACATCGCCCCGGGAGGAAAACGGTCCTTGCGAAGCCTTATCATGACGAGCTCCCCTGGTTCGAATGCCACGAATCGCCTACGAGTGTCAGCAGCCTGCTTATATTTTGAATTGGAGGAGATAAGCTTCGTACGCACTTCGTCTAAAATTGCTTGACAATTGTCGGTGAGGGCTGCTGCCGACGCATTAGCACATTTGGGGAGAATAGCAATGTCAAATAAATGATTGGGTGCTTTAGTATAGACAATTGAAAAAGGTGACTTCCCTATGGATCGGTTGGACATGGAATTGTAGGCAAACTCCGCTTGACCGAGAGCCTGTTCCCATTGCTTCGGCCGCCCCTGAACCAGACATCTCAACATGTTTCCAAGTGTTCGATTAACTACCTCAGTTTGGCCGTCTGACTGAGGATGATAGGCAGAGCTCAAATTGATGTCTGTGTGCAGTCTTTTCCACAGCTCGCGCCAAAAGTGACTTACGAACTTGACGTCTCGATCAGATGTGATACTCCGGGGAAGTCCATGCAGTCGGACAATCTCACAGAAAAACAATTGGGCAATGTGGACAGCGTCAAAAGTTTTCTTGCAGGCGACGAAGTGCGCCATTTTTGAAAAACGGTCTACCACCACCATAATAGAGTCCGCCCCCTTCTGTGTCCGTGGCAAGCCCAAAATGAAATCAATGCTAATGTCTTCCCAAATGGAATCTGGAACAGGGAGTGGAGTATACAATCCGGCATTTTGCTTGGTACCTTTAAATTCTTGGCACACAGCACACCTTTCAACAAACCTGGAAACGTCCCGATGCAACTTTGGCCAAAAAAAGCGCGATTTCACCTGGCAAATCGTTTTCTCCCGCCCCAGGTGTGCGGCAAGCCCACCAGCGTGTGCATCCTTGATAATCTGCTGTCTATACGAGGATTCCGGAATACATAAGGCATTGGCCTTGAACAGGTACCCATGCCGCAAGGAGTAGTCATCGGCTGGTTGTTGCAAACTGCACTGCTTCCATATAACAGCAAAATCTGGATCGGTGGGATAGAGTTCCCGTAAGCAGTCAAGGCCAGTGAGCTCGGTCTGGAGCTGAGTGACAAGTGCGGTTCGTCGGCTCAAGGCATCGGCGACTCGATTTTGGTTGCCAGATTTATGTTTAAGAACAAAGGTAAATTTCTGCAAGAAGAGTACCCAACGAGCGTGCATTCTACTTATAGACTTCTGGCTATTGATGAACTGGAGGGCACGATGATCGCTACATAAGACGAAGTCTTGATGGAGTAAATAATGTTCCCAATGTTTGAGAGCGCGAATGACGGCGTATAGTTCCTGCTCATACACGGTCCACTTCTGTCGCGCCGGACTCAGCTTCTCGCTAAAAAACTCAATGGGCCGGCTGTCTTGGGAAAGTACTGCTCCAATCCCCACAGCCGACGCATCCGTGTCAACTTGGAAGGGAATTTCAAAATTCGGTAAGGCCAACACCGGGGCGGAACTCAGCGATTGTTTGATGGTGTCCCAGCTACGTTGACACTCTTCGGTCCATTGGAATTGCTTGCTCTTAAGACAGTCAGTAATCGGTGCCATAATTATACTGAAACCTCTGATAAATCTCCTGTAGAAATTGGCAAGTCCATGGAAACTTCGGACGTCGAACAGTGATCGAGGAGTAGGCCAGTCACGCACGGCGGCAACCTTAGCAGGATCGGTTTTGACTCCTTCACCGGACACAATGAAGCCCAAAAAATAAACTTGAGTAGCTGCAATCTCACACTTTGGCAAATTGAGATAAAGTTTGTGCTCCCTCAAGACTTGCATAATTTGTGTGAGGTGTGTCAAATGTTCCGACCAAGTGTGGCTATAAATGAGAATATCATCGAAATAAACTACGCAGAATTGATTTACATAATCTTTGAGTACCTCATTCATCAAACGCATGAAGGTAGCTGGCGCATTGCACAGCCCAAAGGGCATTACCCGCCACTCGAAGAGACCTTGACGCGTTTTGAAAGCGGTTTTCCATTCGTCTCCTGGTCGTATACGAATCTGATGATACCCGCTGCGGAGGTCCAACTTGGAGAAAAACTTAGAACCAGCGAGCTTATCTAGGAGATCTTCGATTCGTGGTACGGGAAACCTGAATTTAGTTGTAATCTTGTTAATTGCCCTGCTATCGATACACATGCGCCATTTGTTATCCTTCTTTGGGACTAGTAAGGCCGGGACAGCACACGGGCTGAGACTTGGTTGAATGAGCTTCTTCCGAATCAATTCATCAACCATTTCTTGGAGTATTTCGTGTTCCTTTGGGCTCATTCGATAGTGCGGGAGGTTCGGTAGATTAGAGCCGGGAACGAGGTCAATCTGGTGTTGAATAGATCTTAGTGGCGGTAGTTCAGCTGGAAGCTCGGGAGGCGTGAGATCTTGGAACTGTTGCATGAGTGCCGATACTTCAGGATTCCAATCTTTGATGCTTGAGTCTACCTGCTCTTCAACCATGACAACAGCATATACACACTTATGCCCTTTCTCTGCAAACAGAGCGGCTCTAGGGATAATAGAGAGTATTGCCTTGTCTTTGCTCCGGTTGTCACTTGTATTTGTGACATGAGGCAAGAGCCTCAATTTTTGTCCTTTCCACTCAAAGCAGTATGTGTTCTGTCGGCAGTCATATATTGCCCCACTGTCGTATTGCCACGGACGTCCCAAAATGAGGTGACAGACGTCCATATCAATGACGTCACATAGTACCTCACAAGCATACTGTTTCCCAATTGTGAAATTGATGCGGCACATTTCCGTGACCTGAATGTCTACCCCCCTTTTTACCCAACTGATTTTATAGGGTAAGGGATTTTTAGTCGTCTTCAACTGCAATGACTGCACGAGACCGCGCGAGACAACGTTCTCAGTACACCCGTTGTCTATGAGTAGCTCGCACACTTTACCGTTAATGGTACAACGAGTGCGGAATATAGCATTACGTTGGGATGTTGTGGGTTGACGAGGAGCTAACAGTAGTCGTTCAAGTATGCACACAACAGCCTCGCCTTCATCTGCTGCAATATCCTCGACTATATATTCAGAATTGTCTTGGCCAAGCTCGGGATCGTCTTCCTGTTCTCCTTCGGCTAGCTGAATTTGTGGTCGGCTTGGGCACTCATTGGACTTGTGCCCAGGCTGAAAGCACCTAAAACACTTGAGCGTCGTAGGCTTGGTATATGGATTTTCTTTGGGTGGAGGAAGCCGAGGTTTAAGGCCTCTAGAATCAGTCCCTGGACTCGAAACTGAGCTTGAGACGGTAACAGGATTGGTGGGCGAACTCTTGTGAGGAACTGATGGATTGCGAGACTCGCTGGATTGGTCCGGGAACAACCGCCTATTGTATCCACTCTTGGAGTGCCGGATCATTTGCGTTTCTGCCTTAAGAGCGAAATTGACAGCTTGGGAAAGCGTCCAGACAGAGTTGAGCTCCAACTTGTCCTGAATTGGATCCTTCAAGCCCCCGATATACCGAGCAACAAGTTGATTATCAGTTTCATTGAGATTGTTACGTGCGCTCAATCTATAGAATTCTTCCGTGTAATCACTAACGGATCGTTGCCCTTGAGTGCAGTGTTGGTACCGTACGTAAAGCATTTGCTCGTAATCCGTGGGGAGAAAGTGTGCCCGCATCATTTGCTTCATTCTGTACCAGCTGCGGACAGCTTCCCTCCCGTCCCGGCGGCGGGATTGCAACAATTGCACCCACCAAGCACTAGCTCCCCCCTTTAACTTGCACGCCACGTATTTCACCTATTTTTCAGGAGGAATTTCCATATAATCGAAGAACGTTTCGACTGCACGTTCCCAATCCAGGTAATCCTCAATGTGAAGGCGTCCTTCGAAAAATGGTATATCCAGCTTGACTCGGCATTCTCCCTGAGGCTGCGTGGGCCGATTGAAATGAGGTCTCCGTCTGTAACCCCTCTCCTCCGTTTCTGGAAATTCATCTACCAATTGAATCTCATTGTCTTCGTCGGAATCGGAGAAGATCGGCTCAACTGCAGGTGTTGCCCGATGCATCCGTTCAGGGAGTCTCGGCATTTGTCGTTCAGGGGAAATATCCCCCGGTGGAACTCGTCGGGCGACCGGCATTGTGCCGTTATTTTGCTTCAGCGATTGAATCTCTCGCCGAGTTTCAATAGCAAACTGTTTGAAGTCTGCACTGAGCTCGGCCAGATCTCGATTGATGTTTGTGAGGGTTTCCCACAATACATCGGTGCTCCGCTCATCGTCGGGCACTGCACGTCGGCTGGATTCGGCCATCCCAGTACTCGTCTACGCGGCTCTGATACCAGTTGATGCGAACTTCCACTGCTCGTCGCCGGAGAAGACAGTCTGAAGACCTGCACAAGAACAAGAGCACAAAGGCAATGGAACAGGAACTTGAATTTGTATCTATTGCTTTCTCCTTTCTTCCTTACAGGCTATAAGTATAAGCTGTAGAATAAAAAGTTGTGGAAATTGTGAAATAAAAGCTGTTAAGGCTAATAATAGTAGTAAGTAGTGGCTAGGTAATACTACTTAGCATAACTAAAAAAGGTACTAGAACGTGTAGTAAAGCTGTCCCTTGTAACGGCCTGAAGCTGCTGGATTGGCGCTCTAATATAAGCATATACTGTACCACATCAGTTATAACCGAACAATACTCTGTGTCCAAACTCCGCTCGTAATAATCTATCATCTCTACGAGCAACTACATTATTGTTAAATTTCGCTGTTAGTCTACTTAAGTATCGTTCGAGATATTTTTTAGCTGAATTTTTCGATGATTTTTTACTTAATTTTTTTAAATAGTAAAAAAATAGTGTTTAAAAAATTATCTCAAACAACCTTAGATTAAGGTGGTGGCGACTGTGAAGTCTTAGAACCAGCAAACAAAAATAGAGAAGATAGAAAGCAATAAAATAATGAATTATATTTTTCTATGTAATTTCCCAAATGTTTTCATCTTTCTATATATGTTCTCTACTAATTCTATTACTGGAAGTCTTTATGTAATCGACGGAGCCATACAATTTCTATGGCGATTGATGTAAGCACTCAATATTTGGATTTTGTAGTTGCTTAATTTCTTCAAGTAAGACTATAGCTTATTTCCTTTGTGAAAGAGAGACGTCATATTTGTTGAAAGAAAAATGAATACCAATAATTATATAAAGTACTTTGGGCGTCCCAAATTTTTAATAAATACATTATGAAGATGTTATTTTATTTCGATAATACTTGAAATATTAGTTATGATTAGATGAATGTCATCAAGATGTCTGTTAGGATCATAGTTTAGAATGAGAAATGTGAATAAACATAGAGTAATAAATGTGCAACTTCCAAGATCCGCATCTGCAAGAACCTTCTAGAGTTTATTAAAACGAATACAAGAACTTTATTCTATATTCTATGGCATTTTGAAGAGTATACATTTTGTCCTCCCCTAAGCAACATACCCAGAAGGTTACTCCATATAAATTGCTTTTGAGATATCATCATAAAAAATATTGCTCATGTTTGTTTGGATTTAAGTCCATTCTTAATTAATGGTCATAGAGAGGATGTGAATATAGTTCTGTCAAGCTACATAGATAAAAGTCTCAAAATAGTTGTGAAAAACCTATGTGTATCTATTGCCACTATTCGGGCTTTATAGTAGTCAATGCCAACATCAAAATGAAATTTAATCATGAGAACTCACTAGCCCTAAATAGTATTCTACACTAATAAGTGAGTAACCAAATCCTTGGTGAGATTATCCATTGTGTATTTTCAATTAGGATCAAGGAGCTAGTGTTTCATGAAAAGTTCAGTATATAGAAGAAATTGAAAGAGACGAAGCAAAATTATAAAAGAAGTTAAATGATTACAGTATGTAAAACTATATCATGTGATGAGCACAATACATGTACCTTTACAAAAAGATGGAGATATAAGGTTGGTGGCATAATAGGCCGTAGGATGTGGATTCTTAACAATCAGAGAAAAATGAAAAGAGGCCTAATACTAGGCTGCCATGGTCGACAAGTATAAGTCTATACTAAATTAATAGGTACTGAAATAAGAGGTGAAGATAAAGTAGAGAGAAGGATAATAGAGAGATGTTTCATGAAAAAATAACATCAGTGGTATAAATGAGATTATAACACCAACAAAAATTTTTATTTTAACAATAATCAAACAGTAAAGTACATTTAACAACCTTTTTTGAAGCTTAAATTTAATTATAACATTGATGCCAAGATGAGTTCTTGATTTTGGCTTCAATTAAACTCCTAGGATTCATTTGAGACAGATTTTTTGTCATTTTGATTTTCAGGCTGTATAATTTTCTCTTTGGCTATTATTCTTTTGTTGTTTTTCAAAAGATTTTATACTAAAAAGTTGCTTTCTAGAATGATTTTAATTTTAATTTTTTTTTTCTACAACAGGTCTAAAAAATAAAGCCTTGCTATACTTCTAAATTGGTTCTTGTTTGTCTCCTTTACATCATATAAAAAGAATAGATAACTAAGAGGAGCATTTATGGGAGAATTGAATATTATAATATATTTATTATTATGAATTTTAAATTAATTGTAATAATGCAATTTTAGTGAGTTGTAAGAATGTAATAATTATTAAATATAACTTTTGAGCGATAAAATTTTGTGATCTCATAAATTTTTTTGGTCTTGTGCTGTGAATGCATCTTTTATTTAAATAATGCATTTTATAAATAAAAAATTTTAAAAAATTGTTTCCATATTAAAGCCAAATGAGCTTATTTATATTAAAACGCACGAAATTCAAATAAAGCATTTACAAATATATTTAAACACTGACTTATTTCGAAAAATATCATGTTAAATAAGCCCGAATAAAAGCCCGGCTAGCTCAGGATGGGTGGGCTTTTCACCCTTATTTTATTTAGGAATACATTACAAGCGGAACGTAAAATACTTCTATGCTGTAGATGCGCACAAGCTTAATGACAAAATGTCCCTTACCAATCTCTCAAAGTCCAACCTGGAATCTCCACCTTCCCCCACGCTCCTCCCGATCTCTACCGCCATTTCGGCCGCCACATGCCGGAGCTCCACCGCCTTCTCCCCCTCCATCGCCGCCCTCACCATCCGCTCCACCAACTCCCTCCTACACACATCCTTCATATCCAAACCCACCTTCCAAACCTCCCCGACTAACCTACTATTAACCAACTGATCCCACGCCCGCGGCCAACACACCATAGGCACCCCTGTGGCCGCACTCTCCACCGTCGAATTCCACCCGCTGTGCGTAATGAAGCACCCCACCGCACGGTGCCGCAGCACCTCCTCCTGTGGCGCCCACGCCACCAATCTCACTCTCTCCTCCGACTCCACCATCTCGACAGCCGCCGTTCCACCGGCTACCAAGTCAGGCCTCACGACCCACAAGAAGCGGTGGCCGCTGTTGACGAACCCGTGCCGGAACTCCAGAAACTCTTCTCCCGTCAGCTGCGCGAGGCTGCCGAAGCTGACATAGGCGACCGACCGGTCGGGCTGCGCATCCAACCAAATGAGAACAGAGCGGTCTTCGGCCAAGAGACTGGCAGAGACAGAGGATGAAGTGATGGATTCGACGAGGGAGTGGAGGGGACCGACGGCGTAAGTGATGGGGAAAAGGGAGTGGGTTTGAGAGAGGATGGGAGCTTCCAGGCAGTTTGACGTGTTGAGAATTAGTCCTTTTGACCGCGTAGCGCTGGCAGAGATGTTTGCGAATAACTGAAGCACTTCGTCTTCGGCTTTTGTTGCTTGTCGACAGATGCTTGGGAGGTCTCGCCGCCGGAGAAAGCTTTCCATGGCTGGCACGCTCTTTATGGGTTCATCAAGGTCTGCATCGCCTGCATTTTTTTTTCCAATTGTTATCTTATCATACTGAAAAGCGCAGGATGATCGAGATGAGCTTAATGTTTCAAACAACACCAAAAAGTGTGCGTAATTATTTTTATGAATTTCAGAATCTTCAAATCTAATTAAGAAAATAGAAGAAATAAAGAACTTGGAGACTGTTAATTATTTGCTGCTACCTGAAAAAGGGAGCTCGCCGGCCTCTATCATGTGAGGGATATGAAGATAAACCCAAAGGGAAGAAGCACTAATAGTTCGGAATACAATAGCAGGGATCCCCAAGGCCTGGGCCGTGTCCATGAAAAAGGGCATTGCTCCGTCCACGATAAAGCACGTCACCGGCGGCCAACCGTCCGGGTCTCGTTCACCGCTGGCGAGCAGAAGTTCGCGGAAGGAATCCATGGAGCGGGTTCTGAGCGAAATCACGAGCTCAATCACCTGGTTTACGGAGCGAGGCTTGTCGTCAGGGAGGCCGTCGGGGATGGAGAGGAAGCGGAATTTGGAGCGGAGAGAGAAGCGGGAGTATTGGGAAGGTGAGAAGAAGCTGAGGAGGCGATGGTTGTGGTCGGTGTTAAGGAAGCTGATGCGGAGGCCGCCGGCAAACGAGAGAGCATCGGCTAAGCGGAGCATGGTGTTTATGTGGCCTTGCAAGGGGAAGGGAAAGATAAGAAGGTGAGCTTCTTGCTTCAGCTTTTCTTTGGCTGACTCCATCAATTTTTGGGATTCAGAGAAACGTATTTTGAGTGGTGACGACTGACGACTGGACGAATAAGCTGCGCTGTGAAGATTTGCTTATTTTATAGGCTTATCAAGTGGGAAGACGACAAAGCTGCGCAAGGAAAATGATTTCGAGATTAATTTACATAGCTGATCTTGGTCTATTGGTTGAGAGATTATGCTTCAAACTAAGAGGTCTTGAGTTCAAGTCTTTGAGTATGAGTTGTGTGTGTGAGTTTGCCTTAAATGACCTAAATGTCCCAAAAAAAAAATTAATTAATTTATAATAAAAATTAGGGATTATTATTGTTGAAGACTGAAGACTCCGATAACAACAAAATTATTCAAATTTATATATTCTTAAGCTTAAAATAATTGAACTCTTATTAAATGGAAAAGGAACAAAATTTTTTAAAATTAAAATTTGTTTATTAGAAAGCTAATTCATAAAGTATAAAGAAAATTCTTCGACATTAT